TGGAAAGCAGCCATTTTGAGAAGGGAGGGAAGCCATTTTGCGGAGCCGGAAAAAACAGGCTCCTAATCAATGTAAAGCGGATTTCCCCCATTGGAACCGTGATTTTGTGATCGCAATAGCGATTGCAAAAATGTCATCATCAAGCGATTTCGACGTCATGCGGGGTAAGCGTCTAGCAGCACTGTATATGAATATGAATATCCCCATTCAAGCTGGTCTTAATGAAGGTCCGGTCTTCAGGACCCGACTGTCCACTCACGTGTCCTATTTCAACTATGGTCCCACTCGTATTGCCAGTGATGCCCAGAGATCTGCTGTCTTCCTGCTTGGATGGCCACTCAGCAGCCATGCGGGCAGACTTGTCCTCCCGCCCCCTGCCTGGAGTGGCCAGCCGAGCAGAAAGATAGCTGGGATGGGAATATTTGTATTTGTACTTGATTCTAACCAATAGAGGCGATTGTATACAAATACAAATATCCCCATCTCTAGTGGCTACACTCTGCTTTGGTTTCCTTTGAAATCAAGAATTCTAGTAGAACATGGTCACTCTCACCCAGAGTTCCCTATTGGTTAGAATCAAGTCAAGGATAGCTAGTCCTCTAGTTTCTTTCTTCACTTTTTGTAGGAGAAAATTATCAGCCACATAAGTCGCAAGGTACTACACTAAAACAAACCCAAACAGAGCATCTATTGGCTGAAATTCTGTTGCACAACTTCACATGTGCAGCATTACCAGGACATCACCAGCAGGGGCAAGTTGCCACAGAATAAAAACTTGTGAGGGGATTTTGGGGTGTACATGATTTTGTCACATTGTGTACAATTCACATGCAAAATGCACTTTAATCATTAAATAGCAGCAATTTCTCACTACTGTTGATGTCATCACTGTTGCGCATGTCACACAGTACACCAGGATTTAAGCCACTGAATAGAACAAAAGCAAAAATTCCCTCTAAACCGTACTTTTAACCTTTTCAACTTAATTTCTCATACCAATCATCAATGCT